CAGCCCGAGCCCTCGTGGCGAAGAGGGCATCTGTTCGCGCAGTACCTGCGCTGGATGGCCTTCATGGGTGCACACACAGGGCCCACACCAAATCACCTCTTACTCGTGAGGAGAGTTACGCGAGCCATTATCGGGCTATTACACACAATGACTATGTACTTTTTGCTTTGCGAATGGATGGAATTTGTATTGAATAGCGCAGGAATCACTGATCTAGCGTCCAAGGCAGGAGTGTGCCTGATAACAACTTGTGTTGCTTTTAATAATTTTCATGCAATATTTAACTCTTTCAAGATCAAAGAGATGTTGGATAAGCTTGACTACTATATAACGTCCTTGAGAAAGCCTTTGGAATGTGATTCAGAAACAGAGTTTGCGAATATGAAGACTATAGACCGTTATATGAAATGGTAAGTTTCGGCCACTTCAAACTTTTGATTGTCCCGTCATGAAAACGTTCTTGTTGATATTTTTTCTGATACCTTGAATTTAAGTAAATGAACAAAAGCATGTTGTGCAGTGCACCTTTTTCACGATTAATGCCGATTGTCTTACTTCAGGAACCTGGATGTTAAAGAATTGAATAGTCTAGTTATAGAAAAGTCAATATTGGTACTATCAATCGATATATCGAACTCATAGCATTATCTTATGCATGTGATCAGTGAGTAAATAATAATTCGTAAAATGTGATTTAAAACATTGAGAACAGGGACGTTTTCCTTTACACACTTCCTAATGATTCGCTTATTAAGAAAATTAACATACAGTACCAAACACAGTTAATCAAACACTACAATTGTTAAGAACCGTGAAATCTATTTATTACAAAGGTAAAATTTTTCTTTCGATATTTAACACATTCTGTACTACTGAAGGCGAATGTATTTTACATCAAGCTGTATTTTACAGCAATAGAGGGAGGAAATGTTAAAATTTGGGAAATAAGCTCTTAAGTCAATTTCAAGCATATTTTGTCTGACAAATTGCTTGGATATTCCTAGTGGATAAGCCGCTTACAGGTATTCACCCCCAAATGGTCTCTCCATCGCATCAGAGCCGCGGCAAAGAGACCATAAGGTACTTCAGGAAAGTCGTAAGGCATAAGGTTCTTCAGGAACAAAATCCTGAATCAGATACTTTTGGTAATTGCGAGGCCAGATGTTGTTAGCCAGGAGACTGACGATTCTATATACACGTTTTTGTAGTTATTCTAGTTACACTTATTTGAGCTCAACACGATACCTGCCCTACAAACGCTTCAGGGTCCACTCACTCATATTCTTTGGTGATACGTGGTTCTGAGTCCGTTTGCTTCAGGTTCAGTGGGGTAAAATTCGTATTGTTGTTATTACCATTATTGGTTTATTTATTTACTTATTATGTAACCGTTGACTAAGGCTTATGACGTATTTACTTAGCCGTTTACTAACTGAACTTAAATTACATATTAACTTCATCTTTTACTTATTAACTTATTTATTTCCTCTCCAGTCCAGGCTCCGCTCATTCTAACCAATGTGGTTTTCTTACTCCCTAAGTCCCGTTTCCCTAATAGTCCTAACCTTTCCTAGACATGTTCCGAATTCTTTCATAAAGTGAGACCATTTATCACCTAATATGTTCTGAACGAGCATGTTGGAAGTAGTAGTTTCCCATTCCCCTCCTACATCCTTTCTAAGGAAACCCAGTTGCTATCTGGTTGAAGGAATATAAATAAAGTATTTTCTTTCACGTTTCGTTTAGTTATTTTCACTGTAATGTGTTTAGTAAATATTACTCAATGTATTATTCAACGCAACCGTTCGTTTAGTTACTTCCACAAGATGCCATTCGTCACACGTACGACCTCTGTAGTGAACATTACTATACGTGCATTAGTGTGTTTAACTTAACAGCAGTTTCGTGAACGTGTCTAAGCATCTTGTTCTTCCAAAATGTACTATACCGTTTAGTTGAATCTACCACTTGGTTGGTTGGTATGATCTAAACATTTCTCTTCGGTCACAATCGCAGTGAGAGAATCGCGAGGAACATCTGTGTAAGGATAGGGTTAGAAACAACGAAGAGGAAAAATAACTTGTTTCATCTAATGAAACTATCGTTAATATAGATTTACTACAACAGCCGTAACTATATCCCACAAAATACGCAAGACAATTTACCAAAAACTATTTGATTTTAGAAGATGTTTGTATTTAACGATGCAGATTAAAACATCATCAAGGTCACAAACTTTGCACTCCATGACGCCTCTAAACAATAAACCTTTCACTCAGGATAAAGTATTTCAGAATTTTGTATTAATAGTGATCAAAATTGAATAACAACTTTCCACAGCAAGAACTGTTAATACAAAACTTTTTGTTGTGAACTACAGGTATGTTGCGGGAACCCTCATCAACTGCTTTGTTCCAAGTATTGGTTCGTTGATTCTCATGAAGCCACCTGTAAATTACTGGCATCCTATTGACATGTCCTCTGGTAAAACATTATTGTATGCCTTATATCTGGAATCATATTACGTATTTTTTCGTTAAATTTAAACAAATATCGTCATTTTTGCCAACTTGTTCCAGGAGTCCGCAATGCAATTGTGGTGGTCGGATCGACCTTGGCCACGTACTTCTGGGCATTCAGCATGGCAGTGTTCCAAACTATCTTCATAAAACTGGTGCTGACACTGTGCGCTGAATTAGAAAATCTGTCGATGACGTTGGAGGAGATCGGACACGACGAGAGGCTGGGCGAGGGTGAGAGCGAGTACAGCGAACGAATGAAGAGGGAAATTGGAGAAGCTGCTAGGAGACACCAGATGCTGCTGGAGTGAGTTCAGGGTGAAATGCAGTTCTTTTCGATTGAAAGCAGCAATAAGGACGAGAAACTAGTGATGAAATCAATAGTTGTCTAGATGTTCCAAAACAACACCCTGCTTAACAATATATTTTTTCTCGGCGCTTGCTAACACACAAGTTCAGGCTCAAAACTTTTGCCATATACTTTTAACAAAACTTGTTCATGCTATGACCTCCACTTTGTGAGAAAATGTAGCTAAGGGTTCATATTATGCGACACATTAATAATAAAAATTGAAACTGTAAACACAGCCTCATCAAAAATTAAAAATCTAAAATTGTGACAACCTGGCACCTACATACTTTCTTCTATGGTTTGAATTTTATACTTTTTTAGAAAATTCAACGGAAAGTACACCGGTGCCTTTTTAATCTCTGTTCGTTTCTATGCTCCATCCAAAGAAAAACGTAAAGAAAAAATGAAGCATTTTTGAGAAAAATATAAAACGCAGTTACTTCAAGCAAAAATATTTCATTTAGGAAAAAACTCTATTTTATACATAGTAAGTGTAGGAAAAGGCTGAAAAAATTATGAATTTTTGCAATCTTCGTGTTGCACGAAAGGAGTATTGAAAAAGAAGGACCCCCTCCATTTTTAACCGGTCTTACGTCCATTCGATGAAAAAATAAAACATTTGGAGCCATTTTTGAAAGTATTTTTAAAGTGTTGAGGCTTCATGTAGAGGATCCACATAAACAAAATATCCGTTTTAAATTCGTAGGGCCCTGAGTTGGGCCCGAAAAATCGACTCAAGTGCCCCCTCCTACCCTCACCAAGACACCCAACTGGGGTCCCCACCCTTGGGACAGAGAGGAGAGGAGGAGGAGTGGGAAAGACTGATAACGGCTGTTAGTAGTAGGAGGGGTGCGAAGCAGTAATATGCCCGGAAGACCAGTTGTCATAAGGGGACATCAGTGGAAAGAGCCACTCCCGGAGAGATCACGTGCCCGGACAGAGGTGCGCCAGCCAGGACACCAGTCGGGGAGGTTAGGTCAGCGTGGCTCCGCCCCTGACAGTGGTTTTCCGCGGGGCTGACGCAGCAGAAGTTGGATTACATTGGGCTATTTCTCCTCAGAGGGTCCTGAGGGAGAGGATTAACATTTTCAAGGAACCTCGACGGCAAATTAGTTATGCTGAAGATAACACCAATGTGAGAATGTTTTGGTTTTTCTTTTTACACTGTTCAGTTTTACCTTGGAATAGAATACATCGACAAGTAAATTTATTTCTATTTGAATCTCTACAATGAAGTGTGGGAGTAAAGTCCAGAGATTGAAGTACTATCCAGTGAACTTTAAAGTTTTTAAAGAACATGTGGAGAAGAGAAGTATGTTTATTTTTAATGTAGCTTGCAGTGTATTTTTTCCAAGAATGCATGTGTGACACATAATACGGGCATCAAAATATAGCCATCATGTTTTCGTGTTTCGTTTACATTACCGCTATCATTACTGACGTTAGATATTATCATTATTATTTTGTTTAATCACAAAAATTTAATTTTATTAATAATTTCTTATTTACTTAATTAAATTAAAGAATTAATTTGTTCTTGTTTTGAATTTTCCAAACATTTTACAACGGAGCACCGTACTCACTAAATCACTTTTCGATCCCAAGAGATTAGTGCTTACAACATCCAACACTTCCCATGACAAAGAAACTGGCACGATAAATATATTGGGCGAGTGACGTTCTATCGGTGTCGATGTCTGACGCCGCAAGTACCCGTTGAAGCCCAAGTAGATGTAGTCAATAGAATGAATTAAGTACCCATAGATGTAGAGTGACCACTCTTAGACAGCTAAATTGAGTTCAGTACTTTCTCCTACCCCTCGTTAAATAGCAGTGACAACTATACCGACACCGTGTGACAGATCTGGTAGAAAGTTGGTATATTGACGTGTTTTTCACCAAAAAGGTTTATATTCTATTGATTATTGTAACTCCACGAGAGGGTCCCACATTTTAACCATGCGTTTAAACTTGCATTTTAATCGTTGCTTAATTTGCGCTTCATTTTAATCCAATTTCCATTCAAATTGGGCTCTTCCTGGGTTTCATTGTTGCTGAGAGTTACTGTGTGACGCAGAGAGACACAGAGAGAAACGAAGAGACATAGAAAGGGAGAGACAGGGACAGAGACAGACAGAGTGAGGGATAGAGAGAGGCAGATACAAATACAGACAGATACAGACAGAGACAGAGTTAGACAGATACAGACAGAGACTGGGACAGAGAGAGACGGTGAGAGAGAGAGAGAGAGAGAGAGAGAGAGAGAGAGAGGGAGAGAGGGACGTTAAGAGAGGCGGAGAGAGAAATGGAGAGGGAAGGAGAAAAGAGATAAAGAGCAGAACAATGACTGCCGGGTTCCTCTAGTAAACGATACTCTAGGTAACGTAGAGACGTTTCAATTACGCACAACGTGACGTTGCGTTTCAGTGGCGACCAATCGCGTGGAACAAGTATCCTAAAACCCCACAGATGATACAGTGGGATGCTTCTGAGCGCTTATAGATGAAGTGCAAGTAGTTACGTAGTTTCGGCGAAGTGGATACATACCCTTCTCACACACGGTGAGCTCGAAGGCATAGTAGTTAAGTGTGAAACAAACGTAGAGGTTCAATGGCGAAAAGCGTAGTGATGCTTAGAGGTGGCGAAGAGGAACGGAGATAAGGAGACTGTGGGTGGAGGAGAGAATGTCGAACGCAGAGCTCGGAATTTGATGACCTAAAATTTCTTTGATAAAGACCTATAAAATGACTGAAGAATAAGCTTAAAATGGCCTATTTAAAAAAATACTAAAAAAATGTTTATCTATATTTATTAAACGAATTTTACAATTTTAAATAAAGGTTCTTTATAAAAAATATATTTAATATAAAGTCTTTATTTTGAAGAGGAAAAGTGATCCTCAGCTCACATCTTTCAACAGTCAGATTAGAAAGGTGGAGGAAGTTACCGAGTGTGTGTGTAAATTTGAGAGTTCGAAAAGTGGAGTCCTCTGCAGTAGCGAATTTCATCATGAACTGATGTCATAATAAAAACTTTGCCTTAGTGAAACATTCATGAAACATTCACGGAAAAACACGAAAAGTAAACAAAAGGCGTAAAAACGACAAATATGACGCAAAGATCCAGAATAATAACCAAAAATGAAAACAATGGCCAAAACTGACAAAAATACCCAATAACTATTCATTTCCATCACCTCTATATCGTAATAAACATTCATTTACAAGTTAGCTGCGACTAGAAAGCAGCAATCAGAAGATGACATATCATCAGAATCCGATCCCTGACAATAAGAAATTTCCGTTCAGGCATATTCACTGAGAGGCAATGAGGCCAATCAAGATGTGAACGTTGACTAATAAGCTGCAGTGCTGTAAATGAGCCATGGAGCTAAATGCGAATCTTTTCTTACGGGGAAAGGAGCCCGTATTGAAGGGTTTCTTTCCTTGTCGGCGAAGGGTGTCCAGCGTGGCAGCGCAGGTGGCATGGGGGATGCTGCAAATTTAGTGCTACATTGTGTACACATCTCGATTCATTTTCGTATTACTCCGTTATTTATGTCCCTTCAAATCGTAAACTCTATCGTCATAACAGGCTCTTCTGTCTATCGTTCCTCGTACTTCTGTTACGTTGCGTAATGTTCACAAAAGAAGATTCGAATTGTAAATGTTCTTTAATAATAATCCTTCTCTATCAATTTATAAGGCGTATTTATGACGATTACTTTACATTAATTATAATTTATTTCTTAATTACCATCAAACTACACACAGATGTAACGATTAGTTCTTAACTCATTGCTTGTAAGAATAAGCACATTCACTAACTAAAGCAAAATCTTTATAAAATATTATCTTTTTCATACACGATGTGTAGTTTTTGTAAAAAAGGGAACATAGGGGGTACTTAATATTAAGTAATTTTCTCACACTAGAAAATGTTTAGTGAGACCTCTTCCTTTGGGTCTTTAATTGGAAATGAATTGCTATTTAACAGAAAGCAAATTTCTGACTCAAGTTACGTGCATTTTCTTACGAACAATATAACTTTTCATGATGTTCATATGTTTTTTACGGGTACATTTATAAAAATTATTTTGCAAAAATAAGTATGCAAAATATAAAGCAAATGACCTGGGCGAAATTTACTTATTTTCCCTTGTTTTACTACCGCTTAATTAGAACTGATTTTGTTTCAGAATAATGAATCAGATGAATGATTTCTACAACCCAGTTTTCTTTATATTATTCGTTGCTGCAGCCATCGACATTTGCTGTGTTTCGTACATTATCATCACAGTAAGTTTTATTTTACAATGAATTGTAATCAATGATGAGCGTTTTCAATTTATAATAGAAAATAAATATTATCGGCTGTACGCGAGTCAACCATTTTTCCATTGCCACCTTACTTATATTGTAATCGTACGCCGGAAAGCGGCGATTTATCGACAAAAAACTCTTTATTGCCGGATACTGGTAACGAAACATTGGGTAAATTCGGTTCCTTCATATAGTAAATAACTTACTCAAAAACGTGATGTAGACTGAATTCATGTTTTGTGGGTCTTTGAAATACCCCAAAAAAGATTGATGGCAAATGTATGCCTGTCCGTCCACTTATGTCTGTCTGTGATCAAAACCAGCTGGGTTGGCAGAGAGGCTTGCAGACGGGCAGGCAGACGAGCGGGTAGTCAGGCGGGCGGGTAAGCGGGCGGGTAGTGTGGCAACGGGAGCGACGGGGGAGGGACGGAGATTATACTGGTTTGTAAATCATGTTATTGAGACGTCATATTTTAAATAAAAAATGTTAAAATATTGATTAACTATTACTATACAATCACATTTTTGCACCAAATTCAAATTCTCCAACTTACAAAATTGGTTATAAGTTTTTTCCCCATCCTTCACATTGTTTAAAACTCTAAATAAATGTTATAGAATGTTATTAGACACATTC